TAAAGCTGGGAGTTAAGTGCTATTATTATCTTGATTAAAATCAGTCGCTGAAACTGAGACAGACATAGGTTAAATGACTTTCCCATGGTCACACAAGTGGTAAATGTCTGAGGCTGGATTTTAACTCAGGTTTCCCTTACTCCAGGTAGGTTCAGCATTCTATCTACTGTGCCATCTAGTTATCTCTAGTATGGTGATGACTTCATTTCCCTAGCTTTCTGCTGCATTCATGTTGAGCTCTACCCATGCTTATAGGGCAATACAGGGGTGTGCTGGTAATATTAACAAATATAGGCACACTCTTTTTCAAGTTTAATCTGAATTATTAATGCTCTCTGAAGTCTAGCCAAATTAACAAAATAACAAATGGAAGCCTGATTTGTTATTGATTTCTGAGGTGTAAATACATACAGTGAAAAGTTAATAAAGGGCTCTCACAAGCCAGTTAGAGATGGATTCACCAACCCCTGATAGTATCTAGCTATTACATCAGGCTATGATAGATGCTGAGTTTATATAAATGAAGTAGGGCACAATCTCTGTTTTCACAGAATTTACAATCGAAAGTGGGAGAGGATGAGACATATTCAAATAAGTATGAGAAAGTGGGGAATATGCTGAGTGCGTGCAATCCCTGTGCCAAAGCCCATTGATATGGGATTCTTCTTTACTGGTGGAGATGAAAGCTCTGCCGTGCGTGAGGAATAGGGCAGAGCTTCAGTTCTCAGCCAGTCCCTTTTTGGGGGAATCTTCAAATGCGAGTCCCTCTCGGGAACTCTACAAGCAAAAGTCTTCTTCTAGTGTAGTGACCAGTTGACTTACATTTTCAAGAGAAAGCAGGTAGAAGAGGCCAATGGTTACTGAACGAAAAGACATAAAGACATGAGGAAGACATGAGAGGGGCTGGCAGTCTTCATCAGGTCCCTATTTCCAGCTTGCTACTGTAGAAACTTGAGGAGTTTTTCCCAGAGTGAGATCCAGCATGCTCTTTCTTGGTTGAGCTCAGATATTTTGCTCTCAGCGGGAAAGCTTCTTTACTCTGTGTTGTCTGATATCTAGCCTCCTATGTATACCTTCTCTAATTTCTGTTTTGCTATGATTTGTATAAATGTTTTCCCCCTAATTCTCTATCTACATTCATTGTGGAACTGATATTAGGTGGGAAAGGAGTCAAGCATGGGGTTTAGAGCCTGGGGTTCCCCTTTTTCCCCCAAATGAAAAAGCGATCTAAAGTTAGATGGACTCTGATCATATCCTCTAAGTGAACAATATTTAAGGGAATACTTAATCTCTATTTGCCTCAATATTCTCATCTATAAAATGGGGATAATGATAGTACCTATTTCTCAGGGTTGTTGTAAGGATAAAATTAAATAATAATTGTAAAAGGCTTTGCAGACCTTGAAGTGCTACGTAAATTCTAGTTGTTGTTTTTATTGCTCTATATTTATTGGTCTATAGATTTTTTTTTCTGTTTTGACTCATCCTTGTTTAGGCATCAAGGTTGCATTTGTTTCACAGAAGGAATTTCTTAGGATCCCTTTGTTTTTTATTTTTTTTCAAACAACTTTGTAAAATTGGAATGAAATTTTCTTTAAATGTTTGATAGAATTCACTTGTAAATCCATCTGGTTCTATTTTTTTCTTTTTTACTTTGGGAGATCATTTATGGTTTATTCAATTTCTTTTTCTGAAACTGGGTTATTTACATTCTTCAATTAATTTTATACATTTTATTGATGTTTTTTATTTTTTTATATCACCAGCATTTCTATCAGTATCTCTCCCTTCCATCTCCGAGAAAGCCATCTTATATAACAAATAATTAAAAAAAAATAATAAAAAGAAGAATAAGATGCAAGAAAATCAGCAAAATCAATAAATACATAAAAGTCTGAAAATGTATGTACCACACCTATGGACCTTCCATTTTTGCAGTGGATTGGGGTGGTGGTAACTTCTCATATCTCTTCTTTGGAGTCATACTTATTCTTTGTAATATTGCAGCATTCATTTTTGATTCTTTTATGGTTGTCCTTTCCATTTATATAACTTTATTCACTGTATATGTTGTTTTCATTGCTCTGCTTATCTCTGCATTCATTTTGTAATTTTGTAATTTCTTATAGTACAGTAATATTACATTCTACTTATGTACCTCAATTTGTTTAGCCACTTCCCAATCAATGGACATCTACCTTGCTTCTTTCCTACTCCCAAAATGCTGCTATAAACATCTCATCAAAGACCATCTTTATTTACTTATTTCTTCAATATCCCTTTAATTAATATAATTTTTATTGTAATCTGGTCAGTAAAAGAGGTGTTCAACATTTTTGGCTTTTTTGCATTTCTTTGGGAGATTATATGTTCATCTGAGAAATATATATATATACATATACACACATACATATATGTATGTGTATATGCATATGTATATGTGTGTGTATTACATTTATATGTGTGTGTTTGTGTGTGTGTGTATATACCCTTTTCTATTTTCATTCAATAATTTCCAGGGGTCTATCATATCTAACATTTCTAACATTTTATTTAGGTTCATGACTTCTTTCTTGTTTATTTTTTTGGATAAATTTGTCTAGGTTTCCAAGGGGGTACACTGAGGTCTTCTAGTATTATAGTTTTACTATTTATTTCTCCTTGTAACTCATTTAGCTTCTCCTTTAAGAATTTAGATGGTACGGCATTTGGAACATTATCTATTAAGTGTCAAAATTAATTCTCTATGGTATCTTTCAGAAAAATGAAGTTTCCCTGCTTATCTCTTTTTATCAAGTCTATTTTGGTGGTTGCTTTTCTGACATCATGATTAGTACCACTGCCTTTTCACTTCAGCTGAAGCATTATAGATTTTGTAACAGCACCTTATTTTAACTCTGTGCAACTCTTTATGTCTCAAGTGTGTTTTATGTAAATAAGATGTTGTAGGGTTCTACTTTCTAATCCATTCCACTCTCTGTTTCCATTTTATGGGTTTCTCTACTTGTGGCTTATCTTGAGAGAGAAGAGATGTAGGCTCAGGACTTGGGATCTATGCTTGATATAATCTGCTTCTACTCCCTTACCCCTCTTCTCTTCCCCTTCCCCAAACTCCAGATACAAATTCCTATCCTTCATTTCTTTCCTATTAAACTCCTCTTCATGAACCATTCTTTGTGGTTAGAGTTTGTTTTGCTTGGACTAATTCCTTCCTGAATCCATCCTCATCTATTATCTTCTCAGTCTCTTTTGCCCATTTCCTTCTCTATAATTTAAGTGAAATGCACTTCTGCACACACTCTCTGTGTGTATTATGGCCTTCTTTGACCAGTTTAGATAAAAGTGAGGTTGAAGTGTTGCTGGCTCCCTTCAAACCCTTTCCTCTTTGTTTATACAGTCTTCTAATTCGGTACATCAGTTATGTGAGATAATTTTTCTTCTTCTTGCTTTTCACTTTAGTGTATTCCTTTTTTCTTCCCTTCCTTTCTTTTAATATAATCAAAACACAATAAAAACACTCCCAAATCCTCAATATTATTTAACTCATCTATGACCCCTGAGGTTATTATGGTTCTGAGGGGACACTTATATTGTTATTTCCCTCTGGAAGGATCAAACATTGATCCTTATTTAGCCCCTTCTAATTGATCATTAATATTTATGTTTTTATGTTTCTCTTGACTCCTATGCTTATGTTTCAAAATATCAACTCAGCTCTAGTCTTTTCATCAGGAATATTTGCAAATCCTCTATTTCATTGAAGATCCATTTTTTTTCCTTTATAGGATTGTATTCAGTTTTTTTTTTGGATAAATTTTTTTTGGTTGTAAGCCTCTATTTTTTGCCTTTTGGAATATTATATTCTAAACTTTCTATTTCTTTAGAATCATGGCTGCTAAATCATATATAATCATGACTTTGCTTCCTTGGTACTTGAATTCTTTCTTTTTAGCTTGTTTGCAGCATTTGTTTTTTGACCAGGAAGTTTAAGATTTTGTCTCTGAGCACATTCCTAGGAATTTTTATTTTGAGATTTTTTTTCAGGATGTGACTAATGAATTCTTTCTATTTTCACTTTCCCCTTTAGTTCTAAAAGATCCAGGCAATTTTCTTTTATGATTTATTGAAATATGATATTCAGTTTTTTTCTTTTTGGTCATGGCTTTCAGCTAGTATAGTGATTGTTAAATAATCTCTCTTTGATCTGTTTTCCAGGCTAGTTGTTTTTAATATGAGACATCTTACATTTTCTAATATTTTAAGTCTTTCAATTTTGTTTTGTTTTTATATTTCTTATATCATAGAGTCAATCACTTCTATTTTACTTTTCAAGGAATCTATTCCTTGGGTAAAGTTATGCATCAGCATGGTGTTTTTCTAGGCCTTTGTGAAGTAGTTGTGTACGTGAGCTAGAGAAGGAAAGGGCAAACCACTCCAGTATCTTTGCCAAGAAAACCCCAAATGGGGTCAGGAGTATGATATAAGAGTCAATAAAGTTAATAGTGTCTTAAGCTACCTCAGGAAGGGCAGAGTGAATAAGGCAAGGGAAGTGATATTACTACTGTGCTCTGCTCTCATTAGACCATGCCTGCGGTGTTATGTCTCTTTTGTCAATGACATATGACAAGGACATTCTTACACTATTCATAAGGATCATGGAATCATTTTTAAAGAAGGCTTTAATCACATTGGAGTAATTATTAAGGTTCCAATCATGAGGGCCCACTGTGAGTTAGAATAATCATGCATCTTGTTTCCACTGTCCACTCACTACACCAACTTTGGTTGGATTTTCCTTTTTGAGACACATGTTGGGCAGTCTTGCTCAAAGTACTGACGTTGACATCTGTTCATTCTGTGGTTGGGGCATTAGTTGTAGACTTTAGAGGCTGGAGATGAAAGAGTTGTATTCTCTTTTAAATACCTATTATGTTTCATAGACACATTAACCACAGATGAGGTGGAAGGAAGGTCACAGAGTGTGGGGTTAGTAAGAATCAGGAGAAGGAAAAGAAACTTTTTTTTTAAAAGAGAAATTAACAGATGCTGCTAAGACTTTCCGATAAACCTTCCTCCCACCTTGAAACTCCCTTTCAAGGCACAGGAAGTTAACTGACCATTATCAGGGCATAAAAACTCAAAGAAGTCCTCACTCTTCATTCTCTCCTCCAGACACCCTCAACTTAACAGCAGCCATGAAACTCCTCTTATCGATTCTCTTCTGTTTCTGTGGCTTCACACTGTTCACTGTGGAAGGTAAGCTGGGAGATGAATTGCTAAAATGTGATTGTAGGATTACAGAAAGCATGGAGCTGGGAGACAGGAAAGCAATACTCTTATTTGGCTCTGGCAAGACTTACTAGAGATATGTCACTTTTCCTATGACACTTAGGGACAGTGCTTTAGGTTCGCAGTTTGGGAAATGGAAGAGACTATGCCCTACATCCAGAAGATTTGGTGACAGATCATGAGAGAAGAGACACAAAGAAAGTCATCATAGAAATAGCAATATAGATTAGCTCTTGCAGATACCTGTATTGATCACAAAGGAAGAGACCATGAGATACTGCCCAGATAGATCATTGTCAACCCATTGTAACTATTAGAAAGAGAATTCCAAATTAATGACAAACTGATTAGTGATGGTGGTGAGGACAAGTTATTGGCATTGGTTCTTTGGAAGACAGATTATTTTTCCTATCCTTTTCTTCTTCTTCTTTCTTCTCCATCTTCATTCTTGATGAATTTGCTACTAGAGTCCTATTCTGATGTCTCACTGTGAGGGGGGGTAGCCCTAAGATATGGGAGACTGGGCCACTGGAGCCCAAGTTTGGGTAGGTCATACCAAGCTGGCAAGGCTGTGAGTGTGTTCTGCTAACAGCCTGTATGTCTGCCGTGTATGGAGAGATGGGTCACCATTATAATAGCTAACAGTGACAGAGTGATGCAAGTTTTACAAAATTCTTTGCATATATTTTAACTCTCATGGCTATTTAGTGAGGTAAGTCATATAAGTACCCAGTAAGGCTACTTAATAGGGGTACTAAGTGGCAGAGTAGGTACTGTGCCAGCCCTGGAATCATGAAAAGCATCTTCCTGACTTCAAATGTAGCCCTAGACACTTACTAGCTGTGTGACCTGGGCAAGTCACTTAACCCTCAGCTTGCCTCAGTTTCCTCACCTGTAAAATAAGCTGGAGAAGGAAATGCCAAACCACTCCAGTATCTTTGCCAGGAAAACCTTAAAATAGGGTGACAGAGAGTCAGACGTGACTGAAATGAGTAAATGACAAAAGTACTATAAGTATTATCCTCATTTTTAGAGGGAAGAATATCAGGATCAGAGCAGCTAAATGATTTACTTATGGTCACATCACTAATACATATCAGAGATAGGATTTGAATATAATTCACTTAAACAAGCGTTTATTAAATTACCTACTATGTGCAAGGCTTTATGCTAGACTTGAGGGATAACATAGCTGTTATCCTGTTGGAGCACTGGCTTCTCCTGACACCAGGTCTTCATCTCCTTCCTCCCCACCAACCTGTCTTTCACCATGGACAACCAAATGCCCTTCAAGAGCTCCTGCTTCTATGTGGTTGGCATGTATTTCATTTGGCCTATCTGGTTCCAAGACAGAAGTGCATTCTACACCACCCAGGGTGGTGTAGTTAAGAGTATGGGCAATAGCTAATGTTCATGGACTGCTTATTGGGACCAGTTCTTGCTCTAGGTTGAAATTTTGCGCAGTGTAGAAGGTATTATCTGGTTGATGCTCAGATTTGGATGAGACCCCAGGGGGGCACAAAATAGGAACCATATCCAATTCCTTATCAAAGCCAGGCTGGGGCCATCTGATTCTGACTGATTAGCACCATGCTATTCCCTGTGTCTTCCCACTTATAAAATAGGGAAAACCATCTCTGCCCTCTAATTTGACTCTTAGGGACATTATGATATTTACATAGGTTAATAGAGATGGAAAGCCTGAAGTCCCTTGGAGAAAAGACTGTGTTTATGTATGATTCCTTGAAGGAGGAGAAGTAAGTGACTTCACTGGATAGCACAAGAAAAGAGAATTCTTTTAAAGTTATTCAGAGGAAGAGGTCAGGTTTCTCTCTTACACTGGGTTCAGAGAGCATCAGCTTCAAAATAAATTGTCAGAGATGAAAAAGGGAAATGTTTGAAGGGGGTATGGTGAGTGTTGAAAGCAGAAAGCGGAAAGAGATGGGGAGGTAGGAGGGGATTATATTTCTTTAGATCCATCTAAAGGAATTGCCTTCTAGCAATAGCGAGACTTTTCATAAAGTATTGGGTCATCATGAACTGATCATTAATATCACAAATTAAACGCTTTCGTATCCGGTTGTGCAAATTTGAGGCTAAGGCAAGCGTCTATGGCAGAAAAGAAAAACAGCAGCTACTAATATCGATTAAGTTTTGCTTATGGTACACTATTCTTTTGTCCCTAAGTCTCCTTTCCTTTTTGCAGGGTAAGCCTGGTCTCTAAGTAAAACACAGTCACCTTCAATCTGAATTCTCTTTGATAATTTCTAAGTATGATTACACAGTGACCTCCTTTGACCAGGATATCTCCCAGTGTTTTATAAAAAAACAAATCTCTTCCGTGTTATTATATGAAGAATTCAGGATTTAGAATCAGAGGGCTTGGGTTCAAATCTAAGCTCTGCTACTGGTATTTCCTGTATGACTTTATCTGTTAAATGAGGGAGAAGGACAAGTGGATCTTGGGTCCCATCCAACCCTAATTCTATGAGTTTATGGGATGGTTTCAGCTATATAAATTCAATGGGCGTTATATAAGAGAGAGAAGACAAAGACCCACTTTCAGAGGCACCATGGCTAGGATCTATGCTACATTCCTAGGATTTGGTTACAGAGTCAGAGGCTAGGATCCTAGGGTATTCTTGCTCCTTGCTTCAAGATGATTCAGAAGCAACCATTTTATCCTTGGTGGTCATGGAGATGGAAATGAGCTTAACACAAAAGGCATTCTGCTTGAAGGCTGGAACTGTTCCATTTTTGTGGATGTAACCCTAGTTCCTAATACATTGCCTGGCACATAGGAGGTGTTTAATAAATGATTGTCGATTGATTGGCTATCCCATTGGACATTGTAGTTTCCCTCTATTTTAATGAGTTAATTATAGGATGAATTTATTTCTTTTTTCTCCGTCTTTTTTTTTGACTAGGTGTGGGAAGTGAAGTCATGAAAAGGAGTTTTTGTGTGAGCCTGACAAGCAAGCCCCTACCTGTTTATTCAGTCAAGAGCTACCTCATCGAAGAGGGCCCGATGAGAGCAGTGATGTAAGTTTATACAAGCACAATCTTTCAGACAGACGATGAAATCCTTCCCTCCTAAAAAAGTCCTTAGGAATAAAGCCTTTACCTTGAATGGATATCTGTCTCTCACCCTTTTGCCCAATTTCTTTTCAGGTGTATAGTGGAAAATAATTCTCACTCATTCATATTAAATAACTGTGTCTCTAGTATCAAGAATTGAAAAACTGCAGAAGTTTAAAGAGATTTTTAGTCCTTGCTGCCTAACAGGGAATGTTGTACTAGTATCTCTAACAAGCTCTCCCAAGAAAATAAACTGCAAATCTAATAATGTTAACAACATAGTGTCAGGCAATGGTTACTGAATTCTCAGCTTGACAACTTGGGCTCAAAAACCCGACTGCTAATTATGATCCATGAAGCTTTGAGCCAATCAGTTCCCTTCTTTGGTCTTTAGTTTCCTCCCCTATAAAATGCAGGGGTGTTTGGCTAACTTATCCCTAAGGTGTCTCCTGATTTCAAGCCAGTGACTCCATGATTCCAGGTGCTCAGGAATAGGCTCATGGATGGGAGCCTCCATCATAATTCAAGCACATGGTCCACTTGATGTGAGGTCTTTGGATACTGGCAGAGCTATATTAAGGAAATGTACCTTGAAGGAAAAAGAAGGAAAGGAAAGGGATAAGCATTCATATATCACCTGCTATATGCCAATTGTTGTTTTAAACAAATATTATCTCATTTGATCCTTACAACAACCCTGCAAGGTTGGTGCTATTATGATCCACATTTTTACAGTTGAAGAAACTGAGACAAACAGAAATTAAATAACTTGCTTAGTATAACACAGCTAATAAGTGTCTGAGACTAGATTTGAATTCAATTCTTCTTGATTTCATTCCTGGCCCTTTATTCAATGGGCCACCAGCTGCCTCAGAAATTGTCTTCAATATGCTCAGTGCCAGGTAATGCTTTTCTTATTTCCACAGTCATCCTATTGGCCAATATGTATTTCTAGTATTTTTTTCAAACTAAGATAGTAAAATGAGGGAACTCTCCCTTGATTAAAGAATGAGATATTAATCTTAGACAGTGAAAAATGAGATGAAGACTGCTAAGTGAGCACAGGAAAACAATCATTATTATTAGTTCTTGACTTAGCATTCATTAAGTCTTCTCTAGAAGTAATCCAAGAGCAGCTACTTGTGTCCAGTTTAAGTTAAGCCCTTGGCCTGACAGAGCAATGATTGACCATTCCTCTATCTTTTCCTTCCATTACAGTTTTGTCACCCGCAGAGGGATTAAAATCTGTGCTGATCCTGACATCAACTGGGCCAGAGGCATCATCAGAGCTGTGGACAGCAGACACAAAAGGAGAAATATGATCCAGACTAAGCCAACGGGATCACAGCTACCAACTGACAGGACCATGACCATGTCTGGGAAGCCATCATCCACCTAGGAGTGTGGTGGGATGGAGACAGTGCTGTACTTGGAGTCAAGAAGATCTGGGTTCAGATTCTGCCTCAGACTTTTACTAGCTCTGTGACCTAACCTAGCAAGTGACCTAATTAGTAAGTCACTTAACCTATCTCAGTTTCCTCACTTGTAGAATGGGGATAATAATAGCTTTAAAATCTATTTCACAGGGCTGCTGTGAAGACCAAGAGAGAATGTATTTTGAGTGCTTTGTGTACCTAAAAGTACTGCATAAATCTCAATCTCTATCTCAATAAATTATTGCTAGCACCTTGTCTCTCCTGCTGCCTTTCAAAGAAAACAAAGTGACTGTCCACATGGACAGATCAGATTATATTCACCTTTCAGAAAGGGCTGTATGGGCCAGAAGACACTCTGTACTTTCATGTTTCATGTTCATTTTCTTTGTATTCATCTTAGAATTGTGATTAAAATATTTATTATTTTGAACAATCCTTTTGTTTATTCTGAATAATTTGGAAAAGTTTATCCTATCAGAAAAAACTGGTTTATTATAAACCAGTGATGAAAAAAAATGATTGAATCAGTATTTATCACAATGCTAATTAATTTTATAATATAACACATGAACAGCAATGGTATCAGTTCACATTTCTGTACTGCTTTAAGGTTTACAATGAGTTTTCCTCATACCACTCCTGCTAGATAGGTAATGCAAATATTAGCTCCATTTTACAGATAAGGAAACAAAATGAATGCAGTTAGACAAGTTGCCTGGGGCTTCACATTACTTATAGCTCTAGTCCATATGTCACACGAAAAAAACATCTCTGCCAGTGTCTATGACTGGGCATCAGAAGGGAAAGAGTGAGAGACAGGAAAAAGAGTTGGACTAAGAGTCAGGAGAGCTATTCTAATCCAAAAGAGATGGATAGATAGGTAAGTTGATAGATAGGTAAAGCATTTACTGAGTGCACACTATGGTCAAGGCATTGTGCTAACCATAGAGATAGAAATATAAATTACCTAGACAATCCCTGCAATCAGGAAGTTGAGTTTCATTCTGATGGGGGAGAACAACACACAAGGAGGTAACTTGGAGGTGATGTGGATACATCAGGAGTTCACATATGATAGCCTGGCATCACAGTGACAGAGTCTAAGGTTCCATTTGAAGTGGGAAGGAGACAATAGTTGGAATGCAAGCTCACTCTGAAGGGCCAGAGATTGGGAGCTGGAAGGAGCTTTAAAATCAACTACTCCAACCTCTCATTTTATAGATAGGGGACTCTCAGTTTCCTTACCCATAAAATGAAGAGGTTAGATCAGATTATCTTTAAGTTTCCTAGTAACTCTAAAATTCCATTAGTCCATGATTAGGTCTATTATAGACTTTTTTTTTTAGGATGAGTTGGATTATGCAATGCAAATCACCATGATCAAAATTAGTTACCCGAATATTGTTAAAATACCCTTTGTTGCCCTCTATCAATGGGGCAACTAGAGTATTTTTATCCATGGTAAGCTAATTGGCCCTGCTGGGTACTGAATCTATGCCATTGACCCCATTACCATAAGCAACTAATAGTATGTCTAGTCTAGGTTTAAGGGGCATAAAGATTAGTTGGTAAATGGCAGAGCTATAAGAAACAAGCAATGAGATAATCACTTTCTGGAGCCACTCATGCCTATAAATCCAGTAGTTTTGTTTCTTTGTCTATCAAACAACGTTCTTGTAGGAACTTGGGCTGGCTTATCTCCTTATGGCCTTTTGATTCCCCATTAATGTAATCACAAGATTACATTAGTAATATCTGCCTTTGGTGTCATTTTCTTTCTTCTTTTTTTTTTTGGGAGGGGGAAGAAGGAGAGGTTAATTTCTTCCATTTTTGGTAATCCTTTTTTTCCCTTTCTTCCCAAAATCTAAAGTCAGCCGTAAGCCTTGGAAACACATGCACTAGAACACGTTAAATTACACATTTGTATATGAACATAAACATATAATCACAGATACACATGGATTCACACAAGCCATACATTTGCTCTAACATGCATGGGTGAACACCCAATATGATATGCTTCCTTACACATCCACTCATACCCCTGTCTGGAAGCTGGATGGGGTATTTGTGCCATGCTCCTTTCTTTTGAATACTTTCTATGAAGCAGGTGAATGATGTTGAAGGGGCAAGGTATGTGCAGGGGATATAATTGAGAAGGAGGAATGCTTTAGAATCCCATATAAGAACAAGGAATGTGTCACTGGGAAACAGGCCCTTCTCCCACAATAACCAGATGAGGCAGTGGTAAGGGACCAGGTCTGAGGGAAGGTTGGTCCCTGTAGGCCAATGGAAAAGGGGCAGGTGCTCATCTTGGCCAGATGACCTGGACTGGTCCCTCCTTTGTGTGGGGCCTTGGGCTATACTATGGGGTGGATAAGCTGTGAAGAAAGTGTTACCTGGAGCCTAGGGTTGATACTTGCCAAAGAAGAGATCTACTTTCTTCTGAATATCCCCTTAGGCAAGGTAGAGGCCTGAGGGAGCCAAGGGAAACCCATCCCCAAAGCCCAGAGACTCTCAGCCTTCTTGTTTTGCAAACATGTTGGGTCTTGGACCAGGCAAGAACTCATCAACCTTCCTGATACATGGCAGTTGTGTGGAATGCAAAGGGCATGAGGAGCATGGAAGGTGGGAGTGGGGTGGGAAGAATCTTATGATTAGTAATCCTTGTCCTTGGCCCCAAGCTTCAGGATCTAGGTGAATTCTGCATAGTTGAAGTTGCCTTTATTGTCAATGGGTGCCTTTTGGCATGTCTCATATACCTCCTTATATGTGAATCAGTCATCCATGATGGTGAGCAGTTCCTGAAGGTGATCCTCTTGGATGACACCTGAGGCCTCCTCATCAAAGCAGGTGAAGGCATTTTGGATAACATCCTTGGAGTCTGTCCCATTCAGCTTCTCTCCAAACATGGTCAGGAACATGGTAAAACTGATGGACCTAGGGACCTCATTCATCATTTCTTTCAGGTATTCATCCGTGGGGTTCTTCCCAAGGAAGGCCAACATGTCATGGAGATCCTCTTTGTCAATCTCAAAGGTCTCCTCGAATTCCTGAATCTGAGATTTGTCAAACATGACAGAAACATTGGACGTAGATTCATAAAAGATGTGTTTATCTTTCTGCTTTTGTGCATTTGTGAGGATTTTATGCCCTACTACATGGTCAGTTTTTAAAAAGTGTGATGCACAACAGAAAAAACACATATGCTCTCTTCTATTCCTAACTGCTCAAAGTTTATCATATATAACTTTTCTAAAATTCTATTCAAGTCATTAATTTCTTTGTGGTTTATTTTTTGATTGGATTTATCTAGTACTGAAATGGATACATCGAGGTGTCCCACTATTATGATTTTAATTTCTGTTTTTCCTTGTGACTCATTTAACATTTTTTAAAATATGTAATTGCTATGCCATTCAGCAAATTTATGTATTGTATTGATATCAGTTTGTTATTTATGGTACCTTTTAGCAAAATGTAGTTTCCCTATTTGTGTCTTCCAATGAAGTTGATTTCTGCTGTTGCCTTCTTTGAGATCATGATTGCAATTCTTACCTCTTTTGGGTGGGACATATGCTCAAGCTCCTTGTTTTGACTGTGGGCGAATCTTTGTGTTTTAAGTGCGCTTCATGTAAACAATATATAGTTGGATTCTTCTTTCTAATCTATTATGCCCTCCTCTCCTATTTTATGAGTGACTTCATCACTTGCATACTCATGGTTATGATAATTAATTTTGAATTTCCTTCCATCTTATATATTTCCTTTTCTTTATTTCCCTCCCCCTCTGTATAAAGAAGAGAAGAAAACAAGGAGTGTGCTTAGCATCAGTTTGATGCTTCTGCTCATTGTCTTTCCCTTGCCCAGATTCTAATCACAAATTTTATCCTCCCCCTCTTCCCTTTAAACATTTTTCAAAATTCACCATCTGTAGAGTTTGTTTTGGTTATGACTAATTTCTCCCTTAATCTACCTTTTCTTTCATTTCTTCTTCTCTACCTCTTTTTTCTTTCCTTTTCACCTTTCGAATGAAATGTATTTCAGTACCCAGTTCTATGTGTATACATTCTTCCCTCCTCTTACCAGTTCAGAGGAAAAGTGAAGTTCAAGTATTTCCCATTCACCTCAACCTTCTTCTCTGTAGTCTGACTTTCCTTTCCTTCCTGTTGTGTTTTTTTAATACTCCCTTTTCTGTATTTTTTAATGATCAGTAAAAGACATCAAAATTATTTTCAGGTTCTCTGTTTTGTTAGACTTCCTCAATGACATCAGATGAGAGGTTCTGAGGGCATATGAGTCTTCCATTCCCCTATTAGAATATAAATACTACATCATTGCTTAGTTTCTTATGATTGTTTAACTGTATATACCTTTATATATTTCTCTTTACTCTTATGTTTGTATTTCACACATTCTACTCACTTTCAGTCTTGTCATCAAGAATGTTTATAAATCTTCTATATCATTAAAGTTCCATTTTTTCTGTTGTAAGATTATATTCAATATTGCTGAGTAAGTTATTCTTGGTTGTAAGCCATTATATTTCCCTTTTGAAATAATATTTTACAAATTTTCCACTACTTTAAAGTAGTGGCTGCTAAGTCTTGTCTTTTCCTGACTGTCAAGTCTTGTTTTCTAGCTGCTTGTATTATTCTTTTTTGACCTTGAAGTTCTGGATTTTGGCTATAATCTTCCCATTAGTTTTCATTTTGGGGTTTCTTTCAGAAGTAATGGGTAGGGTTTTTTCCATTTTTACTTTGCCCTCTAGTTTTAAGAGATCTGGTCAGTTTTCATATATGATTTCTTGAAATATGATGACTAATTTCTTCTTTTTTGGAGGGGAAGGTCCTGACTTTCATGTAATTCTGTCATTCTTAAACTATTTTTCATTGTTCTAACTTCTCAATGAGTGGTTTTTTATATTAGATACTTATATTTTCAATCTTTTGAATTTGTTTTAATATTTCTTGTTGTCAGTCAATTCCATCTAACCCATTCCAGTTTTCAAGGAATCTGTTGCTTGGGTAAGATTATTTTTGTGCTACGTTATTAATTATCTTTCCAAGTATTTCCTTCATAGCTCTCATTTTCCCCAATTATTTCCTCTATACTCTCATTTTATTTATAAAATCATTTTAAAACTCTTAAAAGTGAAGTTTTGCTTCATTCCTTCCAGGAATTGTATTTGAATTGTATATGCCCAGACTTTGTTTTCTTTAAAGCTTTTTTGGTAGATGTTTAGAGTCATTCTCTCCTTCTGGGTTTGCATCTTAAGCAGCCCTGTTTTACTTTCTTCAATTTGATACCACTCTGTGAAATTAACAGGAGGCTTCAATCACATGGAGTTTACTTTTCTAGTTTTAAATGTGAAGGGTGCCCTATGAGGTAGCATAACCATGCATTCTGTTTCCACTGTTCACTCTCTATAGCCATTTTGGTTTCATTCTTAACAAATAGGTGCTGGGCTATCTGCTCTCTGTTGGTATCTGCTCAGCCTGTGGTTGGGGCATGAGCTTTAGACAGAAGAGGCTGGAGATGAAAGAGATATATACTTTTTTAAGCACCTATTTTGTTTCACAGATCCATTAACCACTGACAAAATGAGGGGGAAGGCCACAGAGTATGTGGTTAGGAAGAATTGGACAAAGTAAAAGTTTTTTTTTAAGTAAAAAATTAGTAGCTTCAGCTAAGACTTTGCAGCATCCTCCCTTCTACCTCAATAATCTGGTCTCATGACAGGAAATCCACTGACTATAGTCAGGGCATAAAAGCTTTAAGGGGTCTTTACTCTGTGTTCTTTTCCCCAAATACCCTCAGTCCAACAGCAGTCATGAAGCTCTTCCTCTTGGCTCTTATCTGTTTCTATAGCCCCACAGCATGCGTGGTGGAAGGTAAGTTGAGAAATTAATTTCTCAGGCTTGATGAAAGATGGAATTATGGGAAGCATGGAGCTGGGAAGCAGGAATGCAGTATGCCCATCTAACTCTGGCCAGACTTGCTAGGAATAAAACCCTTATTCTAAGGCACTTAGGGATGATATCTCAGGTTCCCCATTCTATGAAATGGGAATGATGGTTCTTACCTGCTGGGATCTTGGTGACAATTCATGAGATGATGGATACAATGGAAAGAAAGGCATTAAAGAACTAGCAACATAGATCACTTCTTACAGATGTCTGTCCTGGTTATAAAGGAGGAAATCACACTAGAGAGCATAGATGAATTACTGCCAATCTATCTTAACTTCTGGAAAAATAATTTCATGTTCATATGCTAGCCAACTAGGTGATATTGGGGATAATGAGCTTGACCCATCAGAGTCATGAAGACCCAAGTTAAAATCCTTCCTAACTTACTAGCTGTGTGAGCCTGGGTAAGTCACTTCAATATGTCTCAATTTCCCCATCTGTAAAATTGGTATAATACTATCTCCTACCTCCAAGATAAGTGTTGAGGATAAAATAAAATATTATTTATTTATATATTATATATATTTATATAAATATATGTAAACATACATATATGTATGCTTATACATATATACACATATACTCACCCACATATATGAAAGCATCCTCATCCTATATTAATATTAGCTATTATTACTATAATTATTTTGATGCTCTTGTCTCAGAGGTCTTGCAGTCAAATGAGCACTGTTAGTTTTTCCAATGGCAGATCATTTTTCCTCTTTCTTTCCTGTTTATCCTCTTCTATCTTATCATTATTGTTGATGAATCTGCCAGTAAGGTCTGATGCTGATGCCTCACTGTGTAGCCCTCTGAACCTGAAGGCTACAACATGGTGCTGAAACCTTATCAGGTCTTACTGAGCTGTCAAGACTGCAAGTATGGGCCAATGTGTCCAACATATAAGGTCCTGCCTAGGAAAGATGGATCAGCGGTAGTAATGGCAGACATTGGCATAGTACTTTAAGGTTTATAAATTTATTTGCAAATGCCATCACAATTAATCCTTATAATAATCCTTTGAGGTTGGTGCTATATGTAAGCTTTAATATGTCCATCTTCAGAAATGAAGCTATAAGGCTGGGAGAAACTATGTGATTTTCCTATGGTCATACAACTAATACATATCATATCAGAGGTAGAGTTTGAATTAAATTCACTTTGACATCCATTAAGTAACTATCATGTGCAAAGTTTTACGTTTTATGGCTCTAGGGATGGACAGAGGTATGACATGGCCACTAACCTCAAGGAGCCTTGCTCTCTCCTGACTCTGTCTCGATCTCTTTCCATGACATCACCATACCATAATGAAAGTTGACCACCAGGCCAAAAGATTTTTTTTTTGGTCACATCAACTAGTATTCTCATCTATTTAGGCCATCTGTATCAGAACAAGGCGAACACAAACAGATAGAAACATGGATCTTTGGAAGTAATGAAAACATTTTATTATTAGAGATAGACTGGGAATTTTTGAAAAGGTTATACTTATGATGAATTCTAATAGATGCATTGGTACTTTATATCCAGATTCCTAAAATTCTAATTGTACATGGAGATAGATATGTAAGGCCCTCAGAGACACAAAGACACACACATGCACACACATATACCTCAAGATCTCTTGCTTCAGAGTGGTTGATATGTATTCTACTTGACCTCTGATTCTGGGATGGAAGTATGTCCTGCTCTCAGTGATGATGTGGTTAGGAGTCTGACCAATATCCCATATCCAACAACAGCTAGTTATCCTACGCAGAAATTTTGCACAAAGAACTCTGGTTGACGTCCAGATCTGGATTGTTCAATAAATCTCCACAAAGGCAGGAAATAGTGCTCATGTTTGTTTTTAATAGACCCAATTGGGTCCATCTATTTCTGCTGCTCACTTTCTGAATGACTGGCAACATGCTTCTTCTCCTCTCTGGGTTTCAGTTTCCCAGTTGGGGAAGCCATTTCCTGCTGTGATTGAACTCTCAGGGAACTTATGCTATTTAAGTAGGTTGAAAGGGCTGAAAGGCCAGAAGGACTTCAGGGGGAAAGGCAGTATGGGTATGTACCTCTGTTCAATTCTGAGGGTCTTAGGAGGAGCAATAGGTGACTTCACTGGGGAGAGTAAGAAAAGAAAATTCTTCTAAAGCAACACAGAGATGAAAGGTCAGATTTTCCTTTCATTGGGTTCAGAAAGAGTTCAGATTCAAAATAAATAGAGATGAAAAAAGAGAAAATTCAGGAGGGGTATGGTGAATGTTGAAAGGAGAGGGTAGAAAGAGATGGGGAGGTAGGATGAGGATGCTTTATGTTTAGCTCTGTCTTACAGAACAGCCTTCCAGAATTAGCAACACTTTCCACCAAGTGCTGGATCATCATTAACCACTGTTACAAACTAAATGGTTCTGCCACTTTGAAATCATGGTGAATGCCTATGACAGGAGAAGAGAACAATAGGTATTAACACTGAATAATTTGGTTTAAGTCCCACTATTCTTAAATCTCTTCCCATTTCTGCAGCATAATCTTGATCTCTAAGGGAAATATGCTGATCTTCATTTTAAATTCTCTTTGAGTATTTCTAAGCGTGGCTGGGTGGGTGCAGTGGATAGAGTGCCAGGCTCAGAGTCAGAAAGACTCATCTTCCTGAGTTCAAATCTAGCCTCAGACACTTACTAACTGCACGACCCTGGGTAAGTCCCTTAACCCTGTTTGCCTCAGTTTCCTCATCTGTAAAATGAGCTGGAGAAGGAAATGGCAAACCCCTCCAGTATCTTTGTCGCAAAAACCCCAAATAGTGTCATGAAGAGTTGGAAACAATTGGAAGGACTGAACAACAACAACAACAAAAGGATCTTTAAGTACAGTGACCTTTGTCCAGATTATTATCTTACGTTAATCATTAAAAATGGGTTTCCCTTGTGGGCAGAATACTAGATTTGAAATCACAGGATCTGGGTTCAAATCCCAACTTTGCTAAAAGTGCCACAGATACAAGTATTAAATTAATTTAAATTAATGTCTGTTGAACTGATGTCATCAGACCATCAGTAAGCATTTCTTAAGCAACTACTATATCCGGGCAATGTGGTAGTCACCAGGGATACAAAGAAAAAATGAATTTATCTCGTGTAAGGAGTTTGTCTTTCACATAGCAGGAAAATTGACATTGGCACATTCCCATCTCCATGACTGCTAAGAACAAAATAGTTGCTTCTGAAACATTCTGAAGCAAAGTTCAAGGATGCCCCAGGACCTTGGCTATGACCTTGCACAACTCATCCATTAACTCTGGAAACTGAAGCTCAGGAAACCTCAGTTTCCTTATCTGTTAAATGAGGAGGTAGGACTAGGGAGTCTTTAAAACCTGTCCAGGTCTAATTCTATTCGCCCGAAGGCCAGTCTCAACTGTGTAAATGCAATGGGAGGTAAATAAGAGAGAGAAGATGAAGACCCTACTTTCAAGGAGATTACAAGCTAATGCAGAGGCAGCATCATGGAGGGGATTGTACGCTTTGCTTGGGAATATTACAGAATATTCCAGAAGCTACTATTTTATCCATAGTAGTCATGGAGATGGAAGTAAGCTTATCCTTATCCCCAATATCAATTTTTCTGCAATGTGAAAGATTAATTCCTGTTTCATTTTTGTCTTTGTATTTCCGGTGTCTACCACATTGCTTGGTATATAGTAGTTGCTTAATAAATGCTTGCTGATGATCCAATGAGCCCAATGACATCAACTCAATGGATAAAATTTCCTTTTCATTAGCTAATTATAGGAGATTTGATTTTTTTCCCCTTTTAAAAATAACCTTTTTTTTTCTAGGTGTAGGAAGTGAAGTCATAAAAAAGAGTTTTTGTGTGAGCTGGAGCCAGCCCCTACAAAGCAAGAGGGTGAAGAGCTACGCCATTGATGAGGGCCCCATGACAGCAGTGATGTGAGTTTATATAAGTATCTGTTTGTAGTGAGTCCACAAAATGCCTTATTTTGAATGGTCCCTTTCTTCCATTCCTTAAATCAATCTCCCTCCAAGTGCATAGTGGGAATTTGTCCTTCTTGGTTCATGTTAACTAACTGTATCCTTACTGTAGAGAGATAAAAAAAAAAAAAAACAACTATGAAAACTTTAAGAGATTCTCAGGTTTGCTGCCTGATAGGAATATTGTACTAACTTCTCTAATCAGCTCAGCTAAGAAAATGCCCTTTATAGCTTATAAAGTTAGCAACATAGCACGAGGAAATGGTTGCTGGACTTTCAGTCTGACCATTTGAATTCAATTCCCACATCCCAGTTTAATGCCCTGCAAACCCAGGCCTTGAGCAAATCTCTTCCCCTTTTTTGGTTCTTAGTTTTCTGATTTGTAAAATGATGAGGGTTTGACAAGCTTGTCGCTAAGTTACCTCCTGATTTCAAATCAGTGACCCTGTGAACCTTAGAGCTCAGGAATGAACTCAGGGCTGGGAGTCCCACACCGCAATTCAAGTACATGGCCCTTTTTATGTGAGGCCTTTGGATGTTGGCAGATCTAGTGAGGCAATGTACTTCGATATTATCTTTAATGCACTTATTGCCAAATAATCCTTTTCTCATGTTCAAAGGTATCATATTGACCAATAGGTATTTCTAATAGTCATTTTAACTGGGATTAAGAGTTAGATGAAGGAACTCTCCCTTCATCAAAGAATGAAGTATAAATCCTTATAGACATTGAAAAGTAAGGCAAAGATTGTTAGGTGGCTACACAGCAACTCATTCATGGTTCTTAACACTTTACTATTTATCCATTCTATAAATACTTATTAAGAACCTATTATGGGCAAAGCATTTAAGGGTAAACAAAAGTACATATTACATATATGTAATATATATTACATGTGATACACATATACATATATATTACACATCAACTTGGCCCCTATACTCATGCATCTTATGACCTGCCCCCATGAGAGGCAGTGTGGTATAGTGGAAGGCACACTAGTCTTTGACTTAGAAGATTTAGGTTCAACATCCAACTTGGCCACCCGTTAAACTCAACAAGGTGAGTAAGTTCTGTGACCTCTCTGAACCTCAGGTCCTCCACCCCCCCCCACCCCCAGGGAAGGTTGGTCCATTCTTCCTCAAAAGTAATCCAAGAGAAGCTCCTTGGGTCCATTCTGAGCTGAGCCCTTGTCCTGATAGAATGACAAGAAGACCAGCAATTTCTTTCTTTTCCTTCCATTTCAGTTTTATCACCTGCAAGGGGTTTAAAATCTGTGCTGATCCTGAGGCCAATTGGGTAAAAAATGTCATGAATTCTGTGGACAGAAGAACCACCACAAGGAAAGCAACCAGGCCAACAGCCTCACAACCACCTACTAACAAGGCCATTCTCAAGTTTGGGCTGACACCATCTTTCTAGGTGTGTGATGGATTGGATTCAAGCAGGGGTGGAGAACCCGCATCCTTGAGGCCACATGTGACCCACTAAGTCCTCAGGGACAGCCCTTTGACTGAATCAAACTTCACAGAACAAATTCCCTTAATAAAAGGATTTGTTCTATAAAACTTGGACTCAGTCAAAAGGACATATCCAAGGACCTAGAAGGCCACATGTGGCCTCGAGGCCATAGGTTCCCCACCCCTGGATCCAATAGCATGATTGACTTGGAGTGAGAAAGATCTGGGTTCAAATTTTGCCTCAGAATCCTATTAACTGTTTAACCCTGGTCAGGTCACTTAACTTTGCTAAGCCTCTGTTTTCTCATCTGGCAAATGGGAATAATATCTATAGAATTTATCTCGTAGGATTATTACAAAAACCAAAAGAGAGAATGTATGTTAAGCGCTTTGCAAACCTAAAAATGCTATAAAAATATCAGTGATTCTTACTAGCATCTTGTGTCTCCTGCTGGCCCTCAAAGGAAATAAAGTGTCTGTATTCATACAAACTTATCAGATTGTATTCACCTTTCTATGACCCTGAAGACACTCTACTCAGATTTTTCAGGTTATTGATGTTTATCTTAGAATTTTGGTTAGAAAATATTTATTATTCAGAATAATCTTTTTGTTTATTCAGAATAACCTGGACAAGTTTATGCTGTCAGAAAAAGAGGTTTATCTTGAAGAGAAAACAAGAAACTGGTTGAACCAGTGGCAGAAAAAAAAGGAGGCTGCTGTTCATTATATCACAAATCAGTTTCATAATATGATAAATGAGAAGCAAGGCTATCAGCTCACATTTCTACACTGCTTTAAGGTTTACAATGAGTTTTCTTTATCCCTCTTTAATCAGATAGGTAATGCAAGCATTAGTCCCATTTTCCAGGTTAGGAAATGGAATGGGTGAGGTTAAACAAGTTGCTCAGGGCTCCATAGCAATATCTACAGATCTTGTTCATATGCTATACAAACAAATCCCTGCTCATGTCTATGGCTGCATATTGGAAATGAAAGAGTAAGAGGGGAAAGAACATTGAACTAAAAGTCAGGAGAGCTGGTTCTAGTCTAAGATAGCTATGTAACCATATAGAAAGTGAATTTATTAAACACTTGCTATATGCAAGACCCCGTGCTAAGCACTGAGGATACATTAACAAGAAGTAAGGAAGTCTTTCCAAGCAAGGGACTTATATTCTGATGGGAGAAAAAGACACAAAAAGGTGGTTAGAGAAGGGGGTTGGCCACAGGTCAGTTCATTTTGTGGAGGTAGCCTGAAAGAGACCTGGATGCCTGGTTTGGGGGTGAGAAAAGGCAAAACTCGTCTATGAGATTAGAGCATCTCACGGACAGTGTCCAAGCTTCCTGCAGAAAGGGGAAGAGGGGTGCAAAGTCAATCACTATCTAGGGGTATGACCTCCAACAAGTTAATCTATATCACATAGGATCATAGACTTTTAGATGGAAAACGTTAAAGTCATGTAATCCAACGTCTCATTTTACAGAATGGGAAAATGAAGCTCAGGGTTTCAATTTCTTCACCTCTATAATAGGGATTAGACCAGATTATCTTTAAGGTCTTCTTCAGCTCTACAATTCCATGAATCTATGATTAGCCTCATTATTTTTTCAAAGATAAGAAACTAGTTTATGCAATGTAATTAGCTATCACCAAAATATGCTGCCTGTTGACTGTTAAAATAGTCTGACTAACCCTTATCATCAGGGGACCTGACAAGATTTACAAGTGAATTCCATTATTTGAAAACTATTAATTCCAATATTATGCAAATTGTTCACATAGGAAAAGAAGATTGTCTATCTAATTCTTTTTGTCATTCAAATATGATCTTGAGATCTAAACCAAGGAGAGACGTATCAGAGAAAGAACATTATAGCTTAATACTCCTAATGAATATAGATGCAAACATTTAAAATATAATATTAGCAGAGTGCAGCAGCACATCTAAAGACTATACACTATTACCAGGTATAACATATACCAGGGATGTAAGGTTGGTTCAGTTTTGGGAAAATTAGGAGCATAATAGACTACATTAATAACAAAACCATAAAAATCACTTGATTATGGCATTAGATGCAGAAAAAGTTTTTGATAAAGAGCTTGTATAAGTATTAAAAGGTGCCATGTCATTACTTTGACATGTATAGAATTACCTGCTGTTTTTTTCAGTAGTAATAGGTATGTGATTTTTTTTAAAGATTAGATTTTATTTATATAATTTTTCTAACCTTATAGTTTTTACTAGACATACCTCATTCCTACCCCAATGCTCATTGCTCATCCTATGAGTTGTTCATTGCAATAAATATAAAGTTAAACAAAACAACTGTCAAAATGACTGCCTCTGACAATGTATATGACATTCTGCACCCATGGTTCTCTCCCTCTAATCCAAAAGGAGGAAGGGGTACTTCATCTTCTATTCTTTGGTGATCAGGGTTGGTTGTTTTTATTGTAGTGGTTGTGTTTATTGTTTCCCTGGTTCTGCTTACTTCATTCTGTATCCGTTTATGAAAGTCTTCCCATGTTTCTCTGAATTCCTCATGTCCATTTCTCATGTAACAATAATTTTCTACCATCTTTATATATCACAGCGATTTTCCCAATCAGCCATTACCCAATTAATAGGCATCCATTTTGTTTCGAGTTTTTAGTTGCAGGATACCAGGCTTGTTCTGAACAACAGGTGGTCTGCTGCTGAGCTGGAAACTCTGAATAAGGGTCAACAGCTAAAGAAGGAGAACTTCCCCACCTATTTTCTGTGGTCTGAAAGCTAGGATATAGTTCTTAGAGTTCTCCCTTTCTTTTCTTTTTCCAGTTGAGATTTTAGATAAGAATAGATATTCTTGAGGCTGGGGAGGGAGGTGATATTTTGTTCTTTTTGATCTCCCAATTTGTGATTATGGGTTTCATATTTGGGAAGGACTTGAAAGATCATCTAGGACAATGACCCCCTCATTAGAATGGAATGTAAATTGATGTGAACTGCTAGTACTTGTCATTGACAGGGCTCAAACCCAGGGCTTCTTAAGATTAATGTTCGCCCTCTATTCACTACCCCACAGTGCCTCTCATGTATTAGCATCATCACTACAATAAGTGTGTAGGAAAAAAAAGACTCGGGGCTGCGGCACTTATGATATGTTAGAGAGGGAGTAATGAAATGATTTTCAAGTGAATCACAATGCTCATAGCTGCCTGTAGAAGGAAAAGGGAAAGATGTGTCACCTTCCCTTTGTTTTCTAGTCTTCTTACTTCTTTTTCTTCCCTTATGTCAAGGACAAATGGTCTCTCTCTTCTTAAGAACTGATTCTAGTCTTCCATTCCATAAACAAGCCAATGTGAGCTGCATTCACTTTCAGAGAGGATCAAATATGGTGGGCACATACATCTAGATGTGCTTATAGATATGAGTGCACACATATTTAATGTGTGTCAATGTTGATCGCTTGGGCAAAGGTCATCAAGGTGAACTGAGTAGTGTATACACCTATGCAAAGATATTTTGTTGCACATTTATTTTATTGTTCTTAGGAAGAACTCTTGACATATTGGACATGGGAACACAAGTCAATGTAATATATGTTTATTAAGTGCCTTTTATTTGATAGTAACTTACTTTAGATGGCACTTTAATGTAAATTATAGTCCTTTATGTAAATTACCTCATACAAGTCATAAGTAATTCTAGCCTTCAAAGATCTCCATAAGGTAGTGGATAGATTTCAGGAGGCCTGTGAACTTGGATAGGAAAAAATGACATTTACTTTTCACTAACCTGTATTTGAAATTGAACATTTCCTTCAATTACTTTAAAAATTATTCTGAGAAGGGCTCTAGATTGCCAAATGGGCCCAGGACACAGAAAAAAATGTAAACTCCTTTAGTAGGGTATTAATTACTATCATTTTCAGTTGAGAAACCTAAGGCTTAGAAGATTAAATGACTTGACCAAGGTCACAGAGCTACAAAGTGTCAGAGGTGTCATTCAAACCCAAGTCTCCTTGACTACAATTTATCATGCTAGCTACCATACTACAATGGCCAATGCTAGAGATGCAAAGAGAAAACAGGATATCATTCCTGTTCTCTAGTAGTTTGTAATCTAAAGGAATCAGGATAAGGATGATATATATATATATATGCATGTATGTGTATGTATATACGCATGCATGTACATATGAAATATTGTATTTAACACGTGTAATATATATGTCTATATAGATATAGCTTTCTCTCTGTATATACATCTTTGCAACATCTCTGGAATATACTCCTTTCCTCTGATGATGCCACTACTTTAGTGCGGGTCTTCATTACTTCATGCCTCAATTAATCCAAGAGCCTGCTGGTGAATTTGGCTGCCTCAGGTCTTTCCTTATTTCAATACATTCTCCATTCATCCAGTAGTGATTTTCCTAAAACACAAGTCTGATCATTTTACCCCCTACTGTAAATTCCAGCGGCTTCCTGTTACCTTCATGAGAAAATACAAAATGTTCTGTTTGGCATTTAAAGACCTTCACAACCTAGCCACCTCCTACCTTTCTGGTTTTCTTATGGCTTACTCCCCAACATATACTCTTTAAACCAGTGACACTGGCTTCCTGGCTGTTTCATGAACAAGATGCTCCATCTCTTGGTTCTGGGCAATCTCTCTGGCTGTCCTCCATGCCTGGAATGTTATTTTTCCTCCAACTAAAATCCCACTACCTAAAGGAAGCCACTCCAACCCCTCTTAATCCCAGTGCCTTCACTCTGTTAATTATTTCCTGTTATACAGTATAATTATTTTTCCTGTATATAGCTTACTTCATATATATTTGTTTGCATGTTGCTTCCCTCATTAGATTATAAGATCTTTGAAGGCAGAGACTTTCTTTTGTCTTTTTTGTATCTAGCACTTAGCACAATGCATAGTACAATAGTACATAATAGGCTCTCTCTCTCTCTCTCTCTCTCTCTCTCTCTCTCTCTCTCTCTCTCCCTCTCCTGAATATATGGGCAGCTACATGGCACAGTGGATAGAGTGCT